CTACAGGAGAAGGCAGAAGAAAGCAAAACCCTCGATTAACACCTCGTCTGGGTCACGGTCTGGAACAGTATGCTAGGCAGCACTGCCACCGTTATTCTCGAGAACGCTGCGGGAAGAATAAAGCGTCCGGGGCCGTGTCTATGTGTGCATACCAAACACACAGAAGATGCAGGTTTGCACGTGATCGCCCCAGCTTTTCTACCAATGACTATTCTAACAAACTGGTTGAAGCTCCTTTCTGGGTTTACTATAAAATCCCCCTTCCCTTCACGTTTGGCTATCTTCACAGCGGGGTTCTCTGTTCCCCCATACCAACAGTCACTAGATCTACATTTTGTCCCCTTCCAATACCAAAACCACAGTGGTCAGACATGAATATACCGCTCCTGGCAGGAGCTCCTTCCCCCCAGATACTAACAGGAATCACGAAGGACCTATGAGAACCGTAGATGAGATTCAAAGAAGCATCATGCACCAGATAGAGGACTGCGTTCTCCACTCCATCACAGACCAAGGAGAGTGAGGCAAGGCACTGGAAGCTCTCCGGGGGTTCGTTCTTCCCACTGTACTCAGTCACTCAGTGTACCTGACAAGGACAAGCTGCAAACAAGCTCCTTCCCTTTAGCAACCTTGAGGACAGGATCCTTGGTTCTTCTCTGACAGACTCGAAGCACCCAGAAGAGTGCTTGCCCTATAGCAGGTGCTCAATAAACATCTGTGAAATGACTGAATCAGACTATACCTAATTTGATTTTGAAGAGTGGAAATACTGAAACCTAAGAGTAAACAATGGGTCTCTTTGCATACAATGCTTCTCAGCGGCTGGGGTTCCTCGGCAGCAGCTCTGAGTAGTTAGAATTCTAAGTAGAGGAAAACTGACAACTGGCGAGGCCATTGCCAATCTCCGGAGCTGCTGTACAAGAGCTGAGTGAGAAAAGCAGAAATGAGGTTGCCTCTAAGATTTAAACTCTGAGATAAACACATCATGAATCAGAGCATAGACACCCCAGAGGTAGAAAAGCATGCGGATGGGAGAGATGGTCCAGGACAAAGGAAGGCCTGAGCTGCCAGGGGCCTTTGCAGGACCCTGGCAGGACCTCCAGAAACCAACATTAAATATCGGTGGTTCCTTTGACAAAACCGTTCCCAGTGTGAAATGCTGTATCAAGTCAGCTTAGCATTGTGCCATTAATCTTTTTTATTCTTTATCTTCCTTGGTTTTGATGATTTTCTTGCAAAACAAACTTCTGACTATACTATGGTAACCCCAACCCAGGTGACTGGTATGTGGTTGTGTCACAATTAAAATACCTTTTTAAAGGCCCTGATATATGTGGATATTAAACATCTCCCCACTGTGTTGCCCGAATTGGTTTGCTTCCAGCATGCTGGTTGTATGGCCTGAGGCAGGCTTATAAATCTACTAAAAATACCCCAGTAGAATGTCAGTCCATCAGCCTGGTATGTATGGTTTTAGAAATGTCCAAAATATACAAAGGGATTTTTAGCAATCTAATTTTGCGAACAAATAAAGGGGCTCCTATAGGCTTTTAAAGTGCTGGGAGCCTCTAAACTCCAGAACTCTGGTTTAAAACGTAGAACTCAGCTATACATTCTTATTTCTTTACCATTCATTAATTATGGCCCAGTGAAGGGGCGGGGGGAATTTAAGAACTCAAACTATGGTCAGTGGGAGGGGTTTTAAGTGAACATAGTTGAGATTTAGAGACTTGGTTTGTATGTTAATGTCATAAATAAAAATGGGATTAAAGCAAAGTAATTTTTCTCCTACTTCGATTTAATTTATCCAGGAAAATATTTCAAGAGATGTGTACCTCTGGATCAGAGGTTTCTACCATAACTTAGAAGCCCTTCTCTGTCAAAATTAATGCAATCACATTGTGTGTGTAATGGTCCTAACAAAGCCATGAACAACGTGAGCCTGGCCCATCCTTCTGAGGAGTGAAGTATAATGCTCAGCGCCCACAGTGAAGTTTAGTTCCTTGAGGTTTAGGCATTTAGAATAATGCCAGCTGGATCCTGGAAGAAACTCAACAAATAAGCAAAATTCCTAAATTATATCAGAAAATCCCAATTAGAGAACAGAGACCTGGATCGAAAACAATATTTTAAGGAAATTAAACATCTAATCTGAGTCAAGTGGCTTCTTTAGGAAATAGCCTGGTGTGAGTCTTATCCTTTTTCTGGCAGAGGCTCAGTTTGGCAGACACAAGGGTGGTAACTGCCCAGCACTTCAGATTGAAATCAGATGTAGGCAACCTTCTCAATTTAAGCTGATTAAACACACAGACTAAACCAGGTAATTACAAATGCATGTGCTGGGGAGTGGAAAGAAGGGACAGAATGGGAACTTCTTTATTTTTTAAAAGTGTTTTCAAAGATGGGAACAATTTTATAAATAAAAAAGTGGAATGATGCCAAATACAGAAACAGATGTTTTGGATCATGAAGCTGCTGGGAACTGAGCTTTCTTGCCTAGCATCACTGGGTTCTGACCCAGGATTCAAGTGCTCTGGCTAGTTTCACCTCTAGTCCCATTCCGAGGTTGTTCGATTCCATTCATTTACCACCCACCCCCGGGGAAAAAAACAACCTTCAGCTGTAGGAAAGTACAACAAAGAGCAATTCAAATGAGCTAGTGGGGGGGAAAAAGCTACATATTTTTATTGCTCTTAACACGGCATGGCAATGAATGTGTGGGGAACTTCAGCGCAAGAGTTCCATTTATAAAAAAAAAAAAAAACTCCGAAGTGCATATTCCTTTTTAAAAGCTCATTAGAAAACAGACAAAGGAATTTCTATTAATACATTTCTCTTGGGTGGCTCTACTGAATTTCCTGTTGGCTCATCCATACTTGCAAGAATGATGCCTGACCGGGGGCACTCGGCCACTCAACCATCACACTTCTGGGGACAGCGGAATGTGTAGAGTCTCGTGAGTACCCTATTTTGGATCATTTGAAATTTCTAAGCTTTCTGCTGTTCACAAAGGTGGAAAGTGCAAACTGTGTATAATACCCAGGGGTGTATCAACAATGGTTTAATCTAATTTTAATTTTTCAATTTATGCTTTTTATATTCAGGCTAGTATTTCCTGATAGTTGTTTGTTCGTTTCTTTCTTTCATTTTTCTTCCTTCCCTCCTTCTCTTCCTTCTTTTTCCTTTCTCCGATCAATCCATCCATCCATTCATTCATCGACCCATCCATCCATCCATCCTATAACTGAGCTTCCCTCTCAGTCCTCTGAAGAATGATGCTGGCAACTGAATTACCGTGACATGTAGAAGGCTCAAGAATACCATTTCATAGCAAATTTCATTTCCAAAATTCATGGCACTTTATAGTCTTCCCTTATTTGTGATATTATTATTCCCTTTCTGGCATAAAGAGTATTTTTCCCCTGATCTGAAAAACGGGAGTCAGCCATTGACCAAAGTTAGGCTGTGACTCCAAGAAAATGAGGCTGAATACAACCCTCCCTTTTGCTAAATGTGCTAATACTACAGATGGAAAGGGAAATAATGAACTGAAGCTTCGAAATGCCAAAGCTTTGTGTCAAAGATTGTTGCTACTTTGTTTCATACCAGCCATTTTCTTCATCCCTAAGAACAAAATTGTTTCCTTCTTCCTATTTTAGATACACTGAGAATGGTCTTTCATAGCCCTACCTGGAAAGTAATATCTTTTCTGGTTCTTTCTGTTGGCAATTCTTTTTCCAAGAAACAAAACATTTTCTCCTGATTACTTTAAGTTTCTCCAGGTCTATACTCACCTACAATTCTCCAGAAAAACTCTTGCATGCAAATGATGCTCAATGAGTAAAACTGAATTATTACAATTAAAATTCCCAAAATATAAAGAACTCTACAACACACGGACTTAAATTCACAGTAAGATCACATCTTACATTGGCCTTGCACAACACAGTTGAAATCCACTTTCAAATACATTCTACAGCTTAGGAAACTGAGGCCCAAAGAATAAATAACTTTTACAGTAAATGACTTGCCTCAGGTCACGCAGATATGAAACTATATAGCCAAGGTTTGATTCACCCAGGCCTTTGGACTGCAAATCAAACACATTCCCCCAAAGTGCCACACTCTGTCCATTTTGGATATTTCTTAGAGCCTGTCTTAGCCGGAATAAGGTTAGAAGGGTGCTTCACTCCTGAAGGCAGACAGAGGTTGGCGCAGAAATGTGTGCATGGTGTGCAATGGAAAGAGCTTCCCATGTTGAGTGGCTTCAGTCAGCCTGTCTCGGGTTTCACTTCCAACTACTTCACTTAGTGGCCTCAGAACCATGGGGCGAAGTACTTAACCCCTCAAGCGTCAGTACCTACAACACGGGAATGATATAACTGCATGGTTGTTGAGGATGATGTCAGGGCTAAGCACGGTGCCTGATGTTCAGGAAGTCCTGAATCAAATGGCAGAATGTAACAGTCTTGGCACTGGCCAGAAGAAAACAAGACAATCTCAATCGTTTCAGGGTACATGGCCCCATGCCTCCCCCCACAGACACTGACAGCTGCGTAGAAAACATATCAGCTTACCTCCCCTTCCGCTTCATCAGTGACCACTTTTTCTGTACCCTCATTGTCCTCAGACCTCCAAAAACTTCGCCATTACTGACCATGTCCCCATTCCTCTTTTCTGAATTCCCCTTGTTGAAATTCCCTCTAACTTTTGTGTTGAGATACTCAAATTCTGTTGTTACACTGTAACCTCTTTTTCTGTTTGTTCATTTCCCTCTAAATATTTGGCAGGAGGGGGACGCCTGGGTGGCTCAGTCCGTTAAGCGTCTGCCTCCGGCTCAGGTCATGATCCCAGGGTCCTAGGATCAAGCCCCACATCGGGCTCCTTGCTCAGCAGGGAGCCTGCTTCTTCCTCTGCCTGCCAGTCCCCCTGCTTGGGATCTCTCTCTGACAAATAAATAAATAAAATCTTTAAAAAAAACCTGATTCTTTAAAAAAATA